TCCGCGTCGGGATCCCCGTTCCATGTGCGTGCGGCAGTGACCAGTGGCGGATCTTCTGCAGCCATATACTCCAGTGGATCAGACACACCTCAGGCCACGGGATCTGCTGTGGAAAGCGAGTCTGGGCGCCCTTCTGGATCTTCTGAGCTGGAGCCTTCTGCACCATCTCCTGTAGCACGACCAGCACACGCACGTCGAAGTCAGCCCCAACAAGTAACAACTTCACGTGTCATGACTCGGTCGCAAAAAGGTATAAGAAATCCAAAAATCCGAACTGATGGTACTGTTCCATATGGTATGTTGTGTATCGCAGGAGAACCAACAAAATTGGAAGATGCACTTGGGGATCCCAAATGGAAAAATGCAATGGATGATGAATATTCAGCGCTTATGAGGAACAAGACTTGGCATCTTGTACCAGAAAAAAGAGGCAAAAATATCATTGACTGTAAGTGGGTTTACAGAATCAAGAGAAAAGCAGATGGCTCCATTGACAGGTATAAAGCTCGTTTGGTTGCAAAGGGTTTTAAGCAGCGCTATGGTTTGGACTATGAAGACACTTTCAGTCATGTTGTCAAGGCTGCAACTATTAGACTTGTGTTAGCTATTTCTGTGTCCAGGGGATGGAGCTTGAGACAGCTAGACGTTCAGAACGCGTTTTTGCATGGTGTTCTAGAAGAGGAGGTTTACATAAGACAACCACCTGGGTATGTAGATAAAAAGGCACCTCATCATGTGTGCAAGCTGGACAAGGCACTTTATGGCCTGAAGCAAGCACCAAGGGCATGGTACTCAAGGTTAAGCTCTCATTTGAGGCGTTTAGGCTTTGTTGCATCTAAGGCTGATACTTCATTGTTCATCTACAACAAGGCAAACATAACCATTTTTGTACTAGTATATGTTGATGATATTATAGTTGCAAGCTCATCGCAAAGTGCTACTAATGCCCTTCTGCATGATTTAAGCTCAGAATTTGCTTTGAAGGATCTTGGTGATCTACACTTCTTCTTGGGCATTGAGGTAAAGAAGATTCAAGATGGCATAGCACTAAACCAGGAAAAATATGCCACTGAACTTCTAGCTCGTATGGGGATGAAAGATTGTAAGCCTTCACCTACACCACTATCCTCCTTAGAAAAACTTTCAGCTTTTGAAGGTGATCCACTCAAAGAGGAAGAAGTCACAAGGTACAGAAGTGCAGTAGGAGCCTTACAATATTTGACATTGACAAGACCAGATATTTCCTTTGTTGTTAACAAGGTTTGTCAGTATCTTCATGCACCCACTACTGTACATTGGACAGCTGTTAAAAGAATTGTATGGTATATAAAACATACTGTGAGTTTAGGCCTTCAAGTTAAACACTCCAACTCCACTCTTGTTAGTGCCTTCTCTGATGCTGACTGGGCAGGATGCAGTGATGACAGGAGGTCAACTGGAGGTTTTGCAGTATTTTTTGGTTCTAATCTTATCTCTTGGAGTGCTAGGAAACAAGCCACAGTATCCAGGTCAAGTACTGAAGCTGAATACAAGTCACTAGCTAATGCTACTGCTGAAATCATTTGGGTTGAATCGTTGCTCAATGAATTGGGGATTAAACAGCATCGTGTGTCATGTTTGTGGTGTGATAATCTAGGTGCCACATATCTCTCTGCAAACCCAGTGTTTCATGGTAGAACCAAGCATATAGAAATCGACTTTCATTTTGTAAGAGAAAGGATTGCAGAGAAGAAGTTGGACATACGATTCATTCCCTCCAGAGACCAAGTTGCAGATGGATTCACCAAAGCCTTGCCAGTCAAGTCATTCGAGGAATTCAAGAAGAATCTCAATGTAGGATAGTTGAGATTAAGGGAGGGTGTTAGAATTAGAGATAGATTGTAATCTCAACTGTTTACCCTCTCTCTCTCTTAACAACCTTGGTCTCTATCTCCTTGTACCGAACATGTATCCTAGTGATCAGGCAAAACCTTGTACGCCACGGCAAGGGCTCTTCTTGCCCTCAATCAATATAAACCCACGCGGCTCTCTACGGAGAGTAGGAACGCTTCCATCTGACAGGCATGTGATGATGGACGGGCGCAGGATGATGGCGTTGTATGATGTCGTGGTGGCGTCGACGACAGATAGACCGGGCAAGATAGATGCAGCAGTACATCACTGAAGATGGATTGGTGGCAGATGGCTGCGGCGGCCTCATACCTGGCAGGCGTCCTGGTTGAGGAGTGCGCCGGATTGATGGGTGCCCCATACCCAGCAAGCGTCCTGGTTGGGACCTCGGGTCTTAGATGTTAGGTTTAGTTGCGAGGTATGTTTGGTATTAGGCCCAGACTATCAGCATCCCTACATAAACTGGATAGGAGTAGCGACAGATGTTGCTTAGACGATGGCTTTAGTCTTACTATTGTATAACTTTGTAAGATCTTGTGTGAATAATTAATGAAGTGGCTTCTCCAGGTGCGGAGTCCGAGGGTCATCCTTCGTTTCTAAAAAAAATAAGGTCTACAGAGATACATGGCATGTTGTGAACTTGATGAAGAAATAGACATGGTCTCATATAAAAAAAACCTGCTGGTCGACGAACCAAGCTAGGCGCGCAGTCGCTACAGTGGATCTATTTTAAGGTCGCTGGAGAGGTAAAAGAAACACTCAAGCTGAAGGAGACGTCTACGGTCCCGACGTGCATGCATGCATGGACCCATGAATCCAATGCAAATAAAACTTCGGCTGCTAGCTTGTAGCCGCCGACATGTAGTATATATCTATGCATGGACAACTCTGTAAGCACTGAATCTTGAACAACGAAAATTTTATACTATGTGTAATCAAGTCGGAGGAACATAATCATCACGGCTGCTAGAATGACAGCGAGACAATCTGCAATAAGTCGAGTGCGACGAGCAGCTGTTGGCAAACACCAACGCTGTATCGCCTGATTTTGTAGTTGGGGTCGACATGCCCGACTTTCGTTTCAGTATACGGCGCCGTTGATCGGTCCAAAAGAATGACACTTTGACACATCGTGTGCGGTCGAGCCCTGTGCTACTATCCCGTTGCTTGTGAACTCTGAGGATTCGATTCAATAAGCTAGACGATCGGTAGCACTGTTTAGTTTGGACCAGAGGATTCGATCTGGGTTACTGGAACAGCGTGACCGTACTGTGACGTACCGGTGGTTCTAAAGAAGGGGCTATCCCATTCGATCCTAGGGATCACAGGATTGTTGATTCCTCTCGTGTCTAAGCCCGGAATAACGTAGACGTTAAATTCCTGGTGACTTGGCTTGCACTCCAATCACTCGTTGTGCAGGGTAGATTCATGGGCTTCTCGTGCGTCCTCTTCATCGGCTTCTGGATGGTCTATCTAGGTTTGGTTGGCTAGCTTAATCATCTCAACTGCTGATCATATAGCTTGTGGGGAACAAGAGCAAGTAATCTACAGTAGCACGCTGAGCTTGCATGCAGAGGAAGCTGAGGATTCCGTTCCCACCTGCTGAGTTGGGAGGTCACGGTTGCTTCTCCCATTGGCAAGTCCTTGACAGCCTTATCATCAGCATTCAGCAACATAAAACCCAGGGGATAATGTACCATATGTTGGCTCGCTTTAGATATGCCATATGCCATGTCAAAAGCGAGCACGCACGCGCGTTGACAGACAGGACAGCAGACGGCACAAGCACCATCTCACCGAGGACGACATGAAAGGCACCGACGACTTTGCTGCCCAAACCGTAGTAAGATGAACCCAAGAGGAAAGGCAGGGCGCCCGACAGACACGACGGATCAGTGACATAAGAAAACGAACGCAGACACGACGGTTCAGGAAGACCGCGGCTCGCTCGCTAGCTTTCACGCTACCACGGCACCGGCGGTGGATCTCGACGTCGATCCTCTCTTTATTCGCGCGTCATCTGATTGATAAGGCGGTGAAAATGCCTCGAATGGGATCGTGGCAAAGGGGCACCGGTTCACACGCCACGACCTTTGTTTGGAGGGGGCGTCACCGCCTTGCCGGATCACCACCGCCAAGTTGCCATTTGCAAAATCGCAAGTCAGGAGCGGTCGCTCTCGGGGGAGAAGAAGAGGTTCTTAAAGTAAACGGCAGACCAAGTGCTAGTCTTCCATAAGCACTCACATGATTCGTACGTACAGTCTTAAGAAAAGTACCATGATCTGTACTACATCTGATCTGACAATGACTGCTCAGATATTCGGATGTCCGCGCCGAATAATTCAAAGGGGTTTTGTTAATAATAGGAAATTTTAGTGCTGACGGTCCTCTAGATATATATATTAAGCAGCCTGATCTTAACCTTAATCCCTGGGGATGTTCCACGAAAATCGCAGGTCGACGGAAAGGAGAGAGGTGGATTGTATGATTATTAGGCCTACAAGAACATGTTATGGATGCAGCATCAGCATAAACAAGCAGGACCGTCGCAAACAGAGCATCTCTACCGTACAGCAAGGCTTTGCTAAAGCATGTGCAATTATGCATGCATCAGTGAATAGTACGATGATTGCACTATACGTCAACACCAATGGGAATGTCACCCTTGCAATATGATTACCACCTAGGTCAACCAGTAGATAAATGGATGACAATTCAAGTTAACAGCAGTAACGAACAAATGTTCGACGAGCATTGTCTGCATGTGCTCAAAACCGCAATTGTTATCTATCTTGATTTTAAATACAATAGATATCATCAGATGAATAGAAAACAAACAAATATCAAGCATGCAGGTAAATGTGGAAGTTCAATGCATAGGTGCCCATGGGTGCCCACAACCAACAAGATCCAGTGGTAAGATACCTATGGGTGCCCGCAACCAACAAGATCCAACAGAAAGCACACGAATAACATGTTCAAGGCTTGGAGCTTAATAAGTTTTAAACTGGATAATGCATAGACTTGTTGGTTAATATAGCCCTGAAGATTACATACTAGAAACGGATGGTCACACTAACAGTCCTTGGAGATTCATGAACAAACCAACTTCATTTCAGGACCTCACACTTTGCACCTCCTAAGCACTGACATAAGAAACAGCATATCATCCATCTTGAAAAGACAAAGGAACAAGGGTTTCGAGGCAGAATGGGTTCAATTTGTCTCCGTCTTCTCCAGGGCTGAAAATGAACTACTGTCAGTTCCAAAAGAAATAACAAAGGAAGCAGCAGAATATAGCTTACGAAGTTACATAACAGCATCAACTTACTGTTGTAGTTGAGCAACTTCTCGATGAGATCAACATGGGTCATGAGCATACGGCGGCAGCAGTAGCGAACCAAGCCCAAGGCATCCAGAGCATCCCTAAAAACATACAACAGCACAAAGATGGATAAAATCAGATTTCAATATAATAGTTGTAAGCATTATATACAATATTAACAATAAAATTATCTAATAAACCATAACCGATGTCTCCCTTCTAATAATTCTAATCTCTAGAAAAGTAAAAAATAGGTAGGGTAAAGATGCTCTTCTAGTTTTCAGGAACTGTATTGATAAATAAGTAGTGATTTTCTAGTCTTGAGCATGGGGAACAAAAACATGGACACAAATGTCGAGGTGGAACACCATTGAGCAAAGATTCCAACATTTCAGAAACCAAGCACCTCAGCCACACTCAACGGTAGGCTCCAATATGTTGGTAATTCCAATATGTATGTAAAATAATTACAATTTTACACCATGAACATTTGTCTTGTCATTATAGTGTTCATTAACAAGAAACACCATGCAAGTGTGTGAAGGCGGTTTGGCGAGAGCAGAATCTGGAAGAGACCCGCCTATTGTTGTGCGACTGCAAGGACTCTTTCCAAGTCATAAATGCTGTTTGTGCACTGCCAGAAGAGAAGAAGCACCGGGTGGCTGTACTCCTATGGGACTGGTGGACTACGAGAAACAAAACGAATACGGGTGACAAACAGAAAACAGCTCAGGAAGTGAGTGGGGTCATTAGCAGACACGTTCAAGACTTTGAGAACTTGCAGGCTAGGGGCAACACACAAGGCATGCAAAAACAGTCCTGGACTGCCCCTGAGTCAGGTCGGGTAAAGATAAACATGGATGCGGCCTTCCTTGCGGAGTCAGAGGTGGGTGCTTGGGGTTTTGTAATTCGGGATGAGATGGGAAATTTCCTAGCAGCGGCGGCTGGGAAGATGCAGTATGTCCGGAGCCCTCTGCAAGCGGAGATCAGTGCATGCATGAAAGCTATTGAGGGCGTGGCAGATCTGGGTGCTCAGCGTATCATCCTTGAATCAGATTGTCTAATGATGATCAATGCGCTCAAGGGCCGGGACTACGACACAGCAGAGTTGGGTGTTCTCTTCAGGGAAGCTAGGAGTGTATGCCATGTTTCTTTTGGTTCCTATGAGTTCATGTTCTGTCGTAGGGAATGTAATAGGGTTGCGCACTCTCTGGCGCAATTTGGTTTGAGGGCTGCTGTCCCTTTTTCTGTTTGGGCTGTGGAGGCCCCAGACTTTGTTTCGATTCTGGTTGACACAGATGGTGCGCCAGCTCTAAGTGGAATGAATTTTATTCCTGCTCAAAAAAAAAAAAAAAACCATGCAAAGCAGGGGTGGGGAGTACATATGGCTAATCTGATGACATTTTTTACTATATTATATGTACCTCGCTGCGTCCAATAATAAGAACATATAATACAATCGCATGCAATAAAAATTACAGTTCATCCCGAGCTTCTGTTTTTTTGTCTTTCTAGTGTCCATTTATGATACACAATATTATTCCAACATAACATTACGACACAGCATGCAGAGTATGGAGAGTACACATGGCTAAAAAGGTGAAATATTGTTTTACAAAGACTACAAAGATTAGTATACTACCATACTCTTAAGTACCTAGTTACGTTCGACACTAAGAAAATATGATAAAACTTTAACAAAGGGAAAAACACGTAATAGGATGCAAACATAGCAACTATCATCCATTCTTAGCCATTTGGTTTAACACTGGAATAATTCTAATTGCTCCATACATCCCAGTCAAAGTGACAGTTCAGTGAAAGGGCAAGTAGAAGGCTTATGAAATATCTAAAACAGGGAAGCACCACACTAGTAAGGGCCCCCAAATGCATCAAAAGATGCATGACACAGCCACTAGTTTTCAGTGTTCATGCATTATGGATCAGGTACGCTATGGTGTTCAGTGGTGCACCATGTACGTCACAAGATATACAGCATACTAGTCTTCTAGCTAAAAATGAAAAGAAGCCGACATTGCAAATGCAGGCTCCCTCAAGGCCATCATCCACCAAATCAGGATCAAAGGCAGAGCCAGTACAATATGCATAATCAAACCAAAGCCCAGGAACCAGGATGCATAAATGTTTACCCCTCAGTGTAATCGGCCTGGAGAAGATCGAGGTAGTGGTCCCACTTGTTCCCGATCACCTGTCCAAGCATAAAAACTGATCTTGTGAGTTGATCTCTTTCTTCAGGCAAAGGCCACGAGTTCTCCCGATTCATTATACGAATATGTAGATAAGAAAAAACATGCAGAGCTATTCACAGAAGTTTAAAATGGAATACTTTTCAGTAAGCTTAACCCTAGAAAAATTGATGTGAACTACACCCTAAGAGGGCCATATACGATAAAACATCACTTGGTTATTTGAGAGGATCAATGAGAAAAATCTTAGTGTACCACCACATAAACCTAGAAGAAGAGTGTGGATACCCCCTAAGCCGCAGCGTGGGGGTGATGGGGTTTACCTTGCCGCAGGTGAAGCAGCGGACCGGGATGATCATCTTGGATCCTCCGCCTCCGCGTTTGCCGCCGCCGCTGGAGAAGAAGGAAAGGGGAAGAAGGGTTTTCGGGACGAAGGCGAGGGTCAGTGAGAGGATTAATCTACAAACGGTGTGATAGAAGACATGGAAAATGAATGGAGAGGGATGGGATTGCACATCTGGACGAGCTCACCTTGACCTTCTGGAGTGGCGACGGCGGGGGAGAATAGCAGCGTCGCCGGCGGCAGGGGTCGGCTGCTGGCAGGTTGGGGCGGCGGGGGAGAAGGACGGACTCGCGGTGCCGGGGAAGGGCGGCTCGAGGACCAGACGGTTGTCGGGGTCGCCGGACGAAGCTCACCGGCGACGAGAGATGGCGGCGTCGGGACGGCCTCGTCGCTGGCGGCTAGGGTTGACGAACGACGAGTGGCCGAGGACAGAGGATAATGGGGATCGGGATTATTTCGTGCTTGTCCATCGAACAGGTAAAGGCCACTTCGCGGTGGCATCTGATCGTAAATAAGCTTAACTCCAGGGATCCCGATGGGAAATGATTAGATTCAACCTCCTCTCCCGCTTCACCATCGGCGTCGAGTACAAGATGGAGCTCAGGCTCTGCACTAGTACAAGATGGAGTAGCAGTAGCAAGTTCCTTTCCTAGTCGTTCAAGCACTCGTCTGGAGGTACCGCAATTGTTCATCTAATTGGACGCAACTGTTCATCTAATTGGATGCTGCTAATCAAGGTCATTGCACTGATTAGATGCTCATGTGTGTACTCCAGAATTTTGTGTGTATAATGTAGTAAGATTTGTTGTGTGTATAATCACTAGTAAAAAACAGGGCTTTCGTTCGGCCAGAAAAAAACATTAATCCCGGTTGCGTTACGAACCGGGACTAATGTGAGCATTAGTCCCGATTCAAGCGGCGAGGGCACCGTACAGGCATTACTCCCGGTTTAAATGGGACCTTCAGTCCCGGTTGGTGCCACGAGCCGGTACTAAAGGGTGCGATGCCCATTAGTACCGGTTCGTGGCACGAACCGGTACTAATGGGGTTGAGACCTTTAGTACCGGTTCGTGCCACGAACCGGTACTAATGGTGCAATTTTCAAATCCTACCCCCTCCCCCGTGTATCGCCTTTTCAGTTTTGTAAAAAGCAAAAAAAAATGATAAAAACTTCAAAAGTTAAAATCCTTCGAGATGTAATTATGTTACCACATCTACTAGTTAGGAAAATTTTAAAACTTAAATTTGGACATGTTTTGCAATAAGTGCAGGGAAAATGTAAAACGGCTATAACTTTTGCATACGATGTCAGAAAAAAACGTATAATATATCAAAATGTTCAGCACGAAAATCCGCATCCGATTTTGACAGCCTATGGCCTGTTTGCAAATTTTTAGAATCCTCAAATTCTAAAAGGAAAAAAAGTTATGCTCAAATTTCAGTTTTTTTGAATTTTTGTTAAATCTGGTCAAACTATGGTCAAACTACTTATTCAATAAGTATTAGTGTTACTAAATAATTATTCAAGAATATTAGTGCTACTAAATAGTTATTTCAGTTTTTTTGATTTTTGGTCAAATCTGGTCAAACTGTGGTCAAACAATGGTCAAACTACTTATTCAAGAAATATTAGTGTTACTAAATAATTATTTCAGTTTTTTTTGAATTTTGGTCAAATCTGGTCAAACTGTGGTCAAACTACTTATTCAAGAAATATTAGTGTTACTAAATAATTATTGTTCTTTAGAACAATAGTTTCAAACTCAAACAGTGAAATGTGTGACTTCATGCTCAAGCTAAATTCCTGAGGGTTAATAGGATTGACATCTTACTATTGTCAGAAAAACAACAAGTGCAGACTTAGAAAGGAGGGAGAATAGAACCCAAAAGTTAAGCGTGCTCAGGCTGGAGTAGTGAGAGGATGAGTGACCGTTCGGCAAGTTAGATGATTTGGAATGATGAGGGTGATTAAAGATTAGAGGTTAAATTGAGCAGTGATGAGGGGTGATTAGAGATTAGAGGTTAAAATAATTCAGAAATTTGAAAATCAAAAAAATTAAAAAAAATCATAAAATTTTCTTTAGTACCGGTTGGTGTTACCAACCGGGACTAAAGGTGGACCTCCAGGCAGTGGCCACGTGGAGGGCCTTTAGTCCCGGTGCGTATAAGAACCGGGACTAAAGGGGGAGGCTTTAGTAACGACCCTTTAGTCTCGGTTTCAGAACCGGAACTAAAGGCCATTTTCTACTGGTGAATGTAAGATTGCTCTTTGACTGTCTATAGGAATGCTGTTGCTGCTATTGTGTTGACTGTCTAAATTTATAAGTTTGCTGGTTGGCAATCACCCGTCTACTTTCTGTGAAGTGCTCAATACTTGTCAAACATGTTATTTTTTTTTAGTGAGAAGTAACTGACATGCCTCGATATCTTTAGACTGCATGTATGTCCCGTTTACGACACAGATAGTTCCTGTGTGGGATGAATTGGTCCTTAAGGTTCTAAAATGTTTATGTGAACATAGTGTTAGTGTTGTACGCACAGTGAATCGTTCATGTATGTGAAGAGAGTGTTATTTAAGTTTCCTTCTTTTCTAGTATGTTCCATTGGTAGTGATGCTTAATTGGCAGCATGTAGTTTAGCTGACTGACACACTTGTTGGCCATATTTCTTCAGACGTTTTGCTGTTTTGAATGATTCCTTCCTGTGTTCGTTATAGTATTAAGTTGTATCTTCCTTTCAAACATCCCCATGGATATGCTTACCGTCCGACTTTTTGGCAATCACCCATTTGCCTTCTACCTTCTGATGCACTGTGAAGTGCCTTGATATATTTAGACTGCACTTATGTCCCATCTGCAGTACATATTTCTTGCGGGATGAATTGATCCTTAAGGTTGTGAAATACTCATGACAGATAGTGGTGTCTGGCGTCGTAGTGACGTCGACGGCAGATGAGACTGGCAAGATATACACAATGATCCCTCCTCAAGATGGAACGAAGGAAAATGGCAGCAGCGGATTCTAGAGTGTGCGCATGTGACGCGCGTTGTGGGCCGCCTAGACCGGCTGGTACTCTCAGATTGCCAGCCGGATGTCTTCTCGAGGCAACTGGATTAGATGGTGTTTGTTGATGCGGTCAGGGTACATATTTATTCGCCTCAAAGCTGGCTTTGGTTGATCTTTGTATTCATTTTATCATACTTTGATTTTTTTTTTAAATAAAGATAGCTGTATGCATCATTTTAATGAAGAGGACTGGGTAATCCTTCTTAAAAAAAAACCTATAAGATAAACTAGCGCAAAGTGTAAAAGCGAAACTAAAAGAGAGTAACTCTTTGCGAGAAATGAAGAAGAAAGCTGGAAGGTAAAATTGCAAACAAAGTGCTCCCGCGAACAAACTTCACGGGAGGCTGCTGATCCCAGTAAATGGAAGCTTCTCCCGTTCATTAACTGACGTCGACGCTGCATAAATTACTCCACTTGGCACGTCCAGCTTCGGGCTGATACACACGGGTCGTTCATGAAGTACTACTAGGACTCTAGGAGTAATGTTCTGCGCTCGCAGGTGCGCAGTGCGGTAAACAGGAGTACTTCACATCGAGCCACTAGGAATGTTAGTATTGCAATGTACTGTCATAGCAGATTGTATCTAATGTCAATTTAAAAAAAAGATTGTATCTAATGTACCCAAGCAGCGAGCAGCTCCTCCTAATCCATGTTGCACGTACTCATCTGCCATGCTTTTTTTATTTTTACTTTTTTTCGTGTGGCTCATCTGCTACGCTACCCTTGCATTGACCTCGACCCCTCAAGGCATGAAAGCTTCTTGTTAGTTTGACAGTTCATCATTCGATTTAACTAAGCCACACTGTGCTGTCGTTGACCAAAGGAGAGGCATGACCTGGATAATCAGTTAGCACACCACGTGGAACTGAGGCTCATATTTGACTTTCATTATTGCCAAACACTAAACATACTAGTTATTCACAAAAAAAAACATACTAGTCAATTTTGCTGGCTAAGAATTTAAATACCGGCGCGCACTTTTTTTTGACAGTTTAGGAATAGTACATATTTTGACCACATAGTAAATGTGTAAGTATTCAAAATTTAGGAAACACCTAGTACACCCAATAAAACAAAAGGTCATGGAACCGGACGAGACTTGACTGCTCCTTTTCCATGCTCCCATCCATGCTCCCGCATACATGGCTTGATTTGATTGGAAGAAAATAAGGCCCGACCTCACCCCTGAAAATCAGGGGGGAGATGATTAGATTAAAAAAGAAAAAGGAAAAAGAACAGCCGTAGGATGAGGTGGGAGCACGGATGAAAGCATGGAGAGGGAGCAGACAAACCGGATCCCATGGAACCACCCTCCCCACTGTGACCTGCGATCCACCTCAACAATCAACGCTCCAATTTTGACCAGACCCCCACCATCCCACGACACGATCGAGGACCCCCTTTAGCCATCGTGAACCGACTGACAGCTGGGCCCGGCGACAAGGAGATCTCGACGTGCGACCCCATAACCCCGACACGTCGCCTCTATCCCAGCAAACCCGCCGCCGACTTTCCCAGACTTTACCGCCCGCCTTTCACCCTCTCCATCCCGCCCCCGCCCACCCGCACCCAGCCACCCACTGGCAACTGGGCCCGCACGCCCGCTGGTCCCACGAGGGATATATCTCGTGACGGCCATTTACCCGCCCAGCGATTCGAAAAACGGGAAGGGAAATCAAAACAGCACAGCCGACGAGGGGGGAGGAGAAAAAAAAATACTAACCGCGACGAGCACAGCACACGCACCCGTCTCTCTCGCTTCTTCCTCCTCCCGTCCCGGTCGCCGTCTCGCACGCCACATCGCCGCAAGCAAAGGCCAATCCAGGAGGACACGGTGGCAGGAGCTCCTCGCGGCTCTCTCGGAGCGTCGCCGTCGGCGTGAGTGGAGCGGGATCCGGATCCCGTGCGGCGGAGCGATCCCCGGCCGCCTCGCCGGATCGCCGGAGACAGTGTAAGTGACCGCGGCTGTCGAGCTCGGTCTTCGGCGGGATGCGTTTGAGTTTAGGAGTGATTTTTTTTTGCCACCCTCTCTGTTTGCAGGTGCTGGTGTCGATTCGGTTGGGGATTTTCGGAGCTTGAGGCGGGATTCAGAGATGGAGGAGCTGCTGGGCACGGAGATCGGGAAGCACGACTACGACTGGTGATGCGCTAAACCAATCATTGCTCCCGTTTGGCGGTGATCTGATTCGCTAAGTCTGTGTGCGATTTCATGTTTTCCCCCTTTGCCATCGAACGGCGAACCCTGGGTCCAAGCTTAGTGTAATGGCTGCGATGCTGTGTTGGTTTTCAGACGTTTTTGAATCTGTGGTACTGCCCCAATCATATGGCGGGGTATTGTCGGTCGTGTCAGGTGTGATTGTTTTTGGTTAACTGAAGCTGTTTGGCTTAGTTAGGATTAGCTGCAACCAGATAGTTGGTCGGTGGGCTCCTTCTTAGCAGAGCAAAGCATGGGACATAACACGTACTGTATATCACTTTTATTATCTTGAAAAGGCAAAATAGGTAAATGCCACAGCAATTAGGCAGGCCGATAGCATTGCCAACTTTAGGATATCCTAAATTGGATACTGCAATGATACTCCAATTGCACAGCCACATAGTTATTGCACTGTCAAAGCCATGTAGGATTAACTGAAGGTTGGCCCGGCAGCAACTGGCGATCCATAAATATAGCTGATTAATTTCCAATCTTAGTCTGGTTGAGTTGCCATTTTGTGTATAATTACTGCAGTGTTTCAGTTGCAATTATTAGTGACCTATAAAACCCGGTACCGTGGCGCCAGGGGATGCAAGACAAGGATGATTCAGACGTGGGGGAAGCAGAGAGACAGGGTTATTTTGGTCGTTCCGTGTGCATCGCTAGTGTTATCTTTGTGTCTTTGTGTCTTTTTGCTAAACTTCAGTGTCCTTTGTAGCTCCTGCGCGAGCTTGTGTCTGAGCCTCCTGTGGCTGGTGTGATCCTAGACTGCGGTTGCTTTTGGGTTGGTGATGTTGGTTCTGACGGTGTCACTGGGTTTTCGCCCCATGATAGGCTGCTCGATGACGAGTGTCTATTGTGGGTTTCCCAGTGATGCGCTGAGCTCGCATTTCCCCTTTCGGTTTCCTTATAGTTCAACAAACTTTGTATTTCCGTTATGAAAGTAATGGAAAGGGGTTATGCCCGGCTCAAAAAAAAAAACCCGGTACCACATCTTATACTGGGGTGAGATGATTAAATGACCATCAAGATGTAGGCTAAAGTTTATTTGGATGTCATTCGCATGAGCAGTGCTTGCCAAAATATGTGGTGTTGGATGAGATATATGCTTCTCATGCTCGAGTGTTTTGTGCTTTGGCTTAACTTTTATGATTTACATAACATGTGAATGCATTCCTCAGGCTTCTTACTCCCCCGGGAACACCCCGTGCTCCTGCATTGGAGGTTGCTGAGAAAGCCCCACCATCAAATGTGCCTAAACGGACCGTCACTAGATCTTCCTCAACCACCAGAGCATCAAGGGTTGGTACTATTTGCTTCAGATATCTTTGCATTCTGGTGGTTCAGCTTTCATTATTAACTTGTAGTTTAAAGGAAGTATATCTTGCTTTATTGGCCTGTTACATGCCTGCCAATGTCCCTCTATGCACATGTTACGGGTTGTGCAGATAGAACTAGGAACGCACCGGGTCCAGAGTTCAAACCTCAATAGGTTCAAGACTCACGACTAGTTTGTACAAAACTACAGTCACACAAGCACGCAGGCGGCATTGGTGTCCGTTTTGATACTGCATGCCTGAATTGAAGATGTTGTTTTATGAACAACGTACCGTACTTATAACTAACCTATAGTAGTTAATAGTCGAAGTAAATCAGTAGAGTCATTCAAACCCTGCCTACTGAATGCACCATATCATCTGTGGCTATTCACTGCTGTGTATTGTTGCTAAGGTGTTAGTTTTCCTCTCTAGTTTTTCTTCACTGGGCATAGTTCAAGAGGGGTTTGTGTGAGGCTACAAGCCCAAGGGTTTCGCTAAGTTCTTTTATTTAGTATGATACCGTGGACAACAATGTAAAATCATGTTTTGAAGGATTCTATGTAACTTGAATAGTTGCTCAGGCCTGTTACTTTTCTGACCTGCAACTGCAATCTTTTTTTTTTTGACAGTGCTGCGACTGCAATCTCACTGTAGTAAAAATGCACGGTCTCTCTATGGCCTTTTGGCTGACAACTCTCGTGTGGATTTGATCTCCCGCCCAGCCTGCACAGTCTCCACTTTTTTTTTCTCGAAAAAGCCTCCACAGTCATCGGCTAGCTTCACTGACTGATGGTGTTCACAAGCTACTGCATGGGCAGTAGCAGAAGCCGGGGTGTCAGGCCTCAGGGAGGTTATTCTGGCTGCCCATGCCGTGTTGTAGTCTTTTTTGGTGTTCTATTGGCTGTAACAAGTGCCAGCCTAAGCCTCAGGCTTGCAACACACACTCCTTTCTAATTCATGCATCGGCACGCAAAGCTTTTGTGTTTTCTCACAAAAAAAACTGATTGCTGATCCTACAAAGGCAGATAAAGGTGAAAGAGAAGTTTTATACATCCTGGGAAATTCATAGGATATTGTAACACACCTTAATTTCAGGCTTTGCAGGTATAAACTTCAATTTTATGGACCATAATATCTTTGTAAAGTTGCAACGAACTCTATGGAAGTGAAAAGGAATAATGTTAATTTAGGCAAACCTCTTGTTCTTTTATTTAGGCTATGCTATGAAGATCAACAGAATACATAGCATTCAGGTGTTTGGTCGATTGTCTGTACCATTGGACTTCTGTTAAGTAATTTTGGAATGTTTTGCAATGTTGTACATGTGCTCTCATGTTCATATGCTAAACCTTTCTTTTTTGTACGATCTACGGCAACTATTGTCCAGTGAAAGCAACTGAGTCCAATGTAGTTTGGAATGGGGCAATTCACATACTTGGTATAATTGTATTGCACTATTTCTCATCTAACCAACCATGGGAACATACTTATCTGTACAACTTTTCCTTGATACCTATTATTTCTTAGTTGGCTATATGGTGCTGATCAAAACTAACATAAATGCATCACGTTTTTATTTCAGCTTTCTGTTCATGAAACAGAGAATGGACATTCAGCAGCTCCCAATAGACCAGTGCGAAGCATGTCCCGACCTTCAAACAGGTCATCAGTGCTCACTCCAAGCATTTCTTCTGTCAGTTCGAGACCTACTACCCCGACCAAGAGGACTAGCACTCTTCCCTCTTCAAAGCCATCAGCTCCAGCTTCACGTCCAGTGGCAGCACGATCATCTACTCCAGTCAAAACCCGTCCACCTACCCCGGTCAAAACTCGTCCATCTACTCCAGTCAAAAACTGTCCTTATGGTTCCGGCTCCATGGCCAACTCAACCTCTGTGAAGGCAACATCTGCGCAGAACTCAAGGTCATCAACTCCAACCTCTCGGCCCCGAAGCGTTTCCAGCTCATCATCAAGCACAGCTCCTTCAGTGAGTCATCCCAGCTCATCCTCTGGTAGAATTCCTGCAATTGTTCGTACCAGCTCTTCCTCAAGTACAGCTTCAGTGACCCGTTCTAGCTCTCGGTCGTCTACACCTACACGTCAGCCTGTCATGCGTCCATCAGCTCCATCCATAGCTCGCTCACCTTCAGTTGGGAGGATTTCTGGTAGCAATAACTTAACATCTAGTGGACGATCGGCAGCCAGCCGTGGTCGAATGTCAGCACCTTCCTCAGCACCATCATCCCGTCCAAGTTCCCCAAATACACGTCCGCGAGCTCCAGTTAGGCCACTAGATATTCCAGATTTTCCAAGTGATACTCCTCCTAACCTAAGGACAAAGCTACCAGAAAGGCCACTCTCTGCTGGTAGAGCACGGCCAGGAATTGGTTTGGGAGCCAGGTCAACCCCGAATGCTGAACCAGTTACCTCTGCTCCTGTGAAAAAGATATCTGTGCCTGCTATTACTCGAAATAAGTTTTCTGATGCACCATCCAAGACACCTTCTCTTACCAATGGACACCAGAATCGACAAACTGAGAGATCTGTTATGGACAGTCAGCCTGCTAGACCCTCTCGGTCTGCCACAAGTGAAGAAAATGGATTTGGCAGGACAATATCAAGGAAGTCACTTGACATGGCAATCAGGCACATGGTATGTTCAGCCCTCATACATACATTATCTGCGGCAATGACATTAGAAGTTGACAACCTTTCTTTTCGCTTATGTGATGCTTTCAACAAATTATTGTGTTCACTGCATGGAGTCATCTCTAGACTAATGACTGGGATGCTCTAGAAGAAATTTAGGATGGTTTGTGAGCTGTAATATAAGCCTAGAACCTAGTGCACTATTAATTTGATGCAGTTTACTAGCAATTATAATAATACTTGGGGGTATTATTTAGAAGAAACTGAATTGCCCTTATTTATGACAGGACATTCGACATAACCTGGGTGGCATCCGAGGTGCATCTCTATTTCCTCATAGCATCCGGTCTTCTGCTCCCAAGGGCCGTTCAGCTCGAATGTCCGATCCCGGCCATCACACCTCAAATGGCGAGCACGATGCATACACCGACAGTGGCAGCATCAATGGGCACTTCTCCGGTGATTCCATTGGAGCTCTTTCACACTATGGTGGGAGCTCAACTGACTCCCCAGACAGAGAAAGCATGGGAACTAAAGAGACGCTGAGCGAACTGGATATGTACGGCAGCTCAAGGTACGAGGAGATGCTACTAAGGGAGGACACGAAGAACACGGACTGGTTGCACAGCGTCGACGACAAGTCGGACCAGAGCCCCGTGTTCGATCACCGGTTCGAGCCGCTCCCAGAGCCGTTTGGTCCGCTGTGATGGTTACCGTCTGTAAAGGTTTCGTCCGCCCGGTGGTTCGTTTTGTTCTTTGCAGTTGCGAGGCTGTATTATGCTCTTTTTAGATGAAGGAAGATCTTTATTGCTCGACGGCCTTTTTATTGATAGATGCATGCACAGACACACCCACGCAGAGTTGTACGTATGTTGTTATCTCATTCGGTCTGGTCTTCCCTTTCCCCCATCTTTTCATGTATCTGCTGAAAGATGGCAAGATTGCGGGGTTTTCACAATGTACCACTAGTATCTGGAGATTGGAGGCTCCAAGTGCGGGAACACTACTAGTTTATGTTTATAAACTTTTTCTTACGAAAACACCGTCACCTTGTTCCTGGTCTGCCAGTGGTTTGCAAGTTGAAAGGAAGAGTATCCAGTGGTGTTGCACGCACATGTTTAAGCTTCAGAGTCAACCATGATGGCCACGTCGACGTCCAGTCGCTGTGATGTGGAGTACGTCGTGATAACTGTTGATGAGTTGTACAAAAGTTTACTAAATTTACTCCTCATTTGTCTGCCCAAGGAGTTCCATTTGCAAGGAGGTCTTCTCGTTGGAGTTTACTTGTCTGTCTTTTGCTGTTAACTTTGTTGAAAAACTAAGATACTCACATGGCCATGTTACCACCTGCTTGCTGCCTTGCCTGCGTAGGTCTTGTCCGACGTGTTGTCAGCTTGGGGCCTCCGTGATCCGATTCTTGGTACGGGGTTGGCTGGCCTATTGATTATGCAATGCCAGTTTTGCAATGACAAGCGGCAGGAGACGCATAAATCCCATCCATTGTCAGCTCGAGGAGTGCCTGTATTTGGCCAAAGTATAAATACAATAGTGCAGTGTTATTTACTTGGCACAAAGCACTGGTGGTCCTTTTGTTCCCAGGTGCTCGAGGATGCCTCCCGATAAACAGGGTGAGATTATTACCTTTTCAATCCTACCACATCCTGGTGGCAAAGCGATACTTTGCAAGCTGCGATGGTCAATAGTACAATAGTTTTATACTTTCTGGGTCCTAGGCTTCTGCTAGCCATGTTGTAGGAGATAGAAAAATGACACAGTACCAATCTACGGAGCACGAGATACAATACAACCCTCACTTCCTCAGCACAAATCCGGGAGTCGTAGGCCAAACGACCTGTAATCCACGGTGGCTCGGCGTAGAGCAGCAAATTATCTGAACATCTTCGGTATAGATTCTCCCTCTGAACTGTTACGGTTCGCCATTCGAGATGGGACCTCCTCGACAGCCATCCATATCCATTCCAGCCGCTGCTGTAGTGCTGGGCCTCTGAACGCTGGCGGAGATCTCACAGTCACAGAGACGTCGGCCAGCGACGAATATTTTCGTGCCGCGTCGGTCTCCTCCACCCCCACGGCTTTCACATTCGCCAACCACCGTGGTACGATCACAACCACAACAACTACCTGTAACATGAATCAATCAATCAATGCATGCTGCTGCTGCTGCTACTGCTACTGGCACAGCACCGGGCCAAGGCTCACGGCGATCGTGCAGGCGCTGCTCCCTCCGTCAGGCCACTTCCCCCATCGGCGGGGTGGGAACGAGCCGCCGCTCGCGTTACGCCGGTCGGTCAAAGCCGACCTGTACCGCTGTACGTACGTAGCTATGTACTACGCGTGAATGTTGGCGTCGATCGTACTCCTAGCTGTGCCAGCGTACCGCAGCGCGCTGGAACGCGTAGCGTGGAGTGACCGTTGTTGTTACGTAGGAGTAGTCGGCTAGCTGTAGCTGTAGGCCTGTAAATGCAGGCAGGCATTCAGGAGAGCGAGCCAGCAACTTTGAATGGAAATTTGAACGGGATTAAACGGTGGAGGCGTGGCACGGAGTTATTATTCCGTGTCTGCTCGTGCTCGGTGTACATTTGTGGTAGAGCAGGGGGCACTGCTCGGTGCCCAGTAGGCCATCATGCCAACTCATGGCTTCGCCTCCCGGGCAGCTGTACGCAGGGTTTGGATCTCGTTTGGTACCGGCCCGGCCGGAACGCTGCGAGATGGCTGTGCAGCACGCGCGGCCGCTGCTGCGCGGCGGGCCTATCCCTGTACGCAGGGTTTGGATCTCGGTACCCGCCCGGCCGGAGCGCTGCGAGATGGCCGTGCAGCACGGCGGGCCTGTCCCTGTACCGCCGTGTCCCCCTCTCCTCGCCTCGCTCTCCCGACTCGTCTCGAAACCGTGGCCCGGAGGGCGTAAACAAGGTTACACTGGGTGTGCTACGTTACGTACACGTTGGTGCACGAGTCATAGGTCATTGGACTCGTCACCGAATTTAACTTTGGCCACTGGATTTAGAAATACCCGAAATACGGTCACAAAAATCATATCAGCGGCACCGACGGTCGCCGCGTACGCTCTGGCCTCATGTTCTACCTACTACTACATGACATGATGTTTGATCCTTTGACCGCCCACGTATGTGCCAGAATGAGATTCATCGATGGTCATTGGACTTGTCCTCAAAATTCACTTTAATCATGGTGTACTATTTGATCGATTGATCACGATAGAGGCGATTTGGAAGGTGGTCGACGGACGATGAGGACAGGGG